GTCTTCCTAAGTTTGAAAAGGCATTTTGGTGAACACGTGCTATTGCGATACTGTCAGCCAACAGGTAGTATACTTTCCCCACTACTTTTCCTAAGAACGCCTATGTCGGGCCCAGTCACAGGGGGTTAACGAAAAGATTCCCCATCTGAGCCCAACCCCAGGGCTCAGATGGGTTCGAGACTTCAGTGGGCGAACACATGTTCGGCTTTCTACGCATATATTATAATGCAATTATGATCGCATTATAATATCGTAATAAAGAAGATTGAAGAAAAGAAATTGTCGTCAATATTGTTGTGATACCAGTGGATCGAGTGTAACCTTGGATTAGTTTGGATTAGGTAAGCGAAACGATGATTATTTACGTGTCGCGAAAGGATTCCGTTATATGTTAGAATTTGCATCATTATACACGTGGTCAGACAGTTAAGCTCGTAAATAGAATCTTGTGGTTTGTGCAAATTAAAATCGTGTCGGATTGAGATATCATACAATAAAACATTCAAAGACGATTTAAAATGAATGTCTTTAAATTTTTTTATCGGCAAATAGGAGGCATATAATATTAAAGCTACTTTTTTCAAGTTTTTAAATCCATTAATAATATTTGGAGTATATAAATTATACTAATGATATAAAATAAAACAATGTCAAATTAATATTTTAACGGTAATATTAAGATATTTAAATATTTACGCGTGTCGAAAGCGTAGCGTTGCGCAATTTTATAAAAAAAGTAGTGTGATTCTAGTGACAGAACAACATTCAAACATTTCACGTAATATTTGATGATATAAGAATATTTTACGAATTAAATTTCTTTGTACAAATTTATATAAATATGTTCACTTGAGATTATTTTTGAACATTTTTACATGGAACAACATGAACACAGAATGTAAGTGAACTTTCGGAAATTTAATCAATTCTTTTATATTCGAATATATCTAAATGTTGTCTAGTTTAAAATATCTTTGCAGGAATTTATCCCGATAAAATAATTTCATCATAAAAGCACTGAAAATTCTAATAAAAATATTGTAGTCAATTAAAAATTTATTCAATTTTTTCAATGTATGATATCTTTCAGAAAGTAAATTGTCAGATAGAAACAATACATGAATATTTCAAGTGAAAAAAGTATATTTATGTTAATGTTGATTGGTAAAATTAGTTGGCAAATTATATTATATATAAATATGTATTAAACATTCTTTGCTGATTAAAAGCGTTTTCATTGTGTTGACTGATATAGAGAAGATTTCCGATAGGTGTAACCCCAACGCACGAAATTATGATGAAAATTTTTATGCTGTAAATTACTGTAATTACTGAAATAATTAGAAAAAAATTACTATTTATTCCGTCGCATAGTATTAATATAACCGATTCCGAAACTCACTGATTGAGAATTCGCGTTTCCGATCGGAATCAAAAATAATTATTTATATTTAGATGCTTTAAACACAATGATGAATGATTTTATATTGTTAGTATATTTTTGAACACTCACCACTAAAAAAAATTTTGAAACTCACATTTGAATAGAATTTTGAAACAAATATTATTGTATCTATATTCGTGATTTAGGCTATATTTAAATTATCTGATCATTGAGCATTATATTTACGGTATTAGTAATATTTTATCGCATCCAAACTCTCTTAATTTATACAACTGATTATATGTAGATAAAATTGCAAACAGAAATTACAAGTAAAAGCCGAAATCAATTTTTCACTTTTAATTTCCGCCAATCCGGGAATTTTGTCAACCAAATTTGCCGATCGACACTGCTTATTAACTAATTTTCTATATAAGTACTTACTCATTAACAACTAATTACAAAGTAATTAATCGAAAATTATCGGACACATTAGTGATTCATAAGGAAAATGACACAAGTGACATGATAATGACAAGATGTGTGATAGTTTTTTGTTAATAATTGTTAAAACACCTCAAAAATGTTATTAATTTATATGTATTTTGGATGTGTTGACTTTTTTGTGTGTGTTTTTAATTTATATTTATCAAATATACTATTTATTAAGCCGTTTTTCTGCCATACTCTTGTGCCACTTTTCTTATAAAAGAAAATTATAAACTGAGCATATTCTTGAACTTTTAATTTTTTCAGTATATAAATTAATAATTCTAATTTAATTTTAGCCATTGGCCACGTAATGGAGCAAACGACAAATGATTACAAGGAAGAGAACTCAAACGAGTCTCAGACCTGGGATTTATCTGTTCGTCCGCACGCGAATCAAGAAGCTAATATAAACTTAAACACGGCGGAATCACTGATTTTAGATCTATCATGTAAGAAGCGCGTGATGCCGATGTTGACTAAAGAGTTGGTGTCTTCGATCTCACTTGCAAGCAGTCTCGTGAACCAACAGTATCAACAACCGGGTCTTCCAGATGCGGCGCAGCATAGTCCTATTGCCGGCATACCGTCGGTCTCGGAACCTGATTTGCCGAAAAACACTAAATACGAGCCCACTCACGACAACAATCTGATTAATAACAATTTACCTGTTGTTTCGTCCTCGACCGCAATGATATCGCATGAACAAATGCTACTTTTGCAGCCGCGTGCTGATATCATACATATACCGGTAGCGACATTTCCGGTAGTAGCGCCGAATATACCTATGCCGTACGCAGACGTACAATTTAACGAAGCAATCAACACTATGTCACCGACAGCGTTATCACAGATGATGCCATCTGGGCCATTGTCTAGCAAAGCGGAATCATCATCACCATCACCAGGCCTAATAAGAAAAACACAGAGACCGTTTAAAGCCTATCCAAAAAATCCCTATTACTTCGTAGACTCCTTGGACTACTTGGAAGAGCATGAGAAATACGATCAATTTCGAGAGAAAGTGCTTATAAATATGAAAAGCACTGCAAGCTCGAATCCTAAAATGCGAAGGGTGTCCAAGAATTTTGCGTCGCCTACTAGCACCGTCGTTGAGAAAGACGCAGCTTATTTGGAAAAAAGGAAAAAAAATAATGAAGCGGCAAAGCGTTCTAGAGACAACCGAAAAGCCAAAGAAGATGAACTTGCTATCAGGGTGGTTTACCTTGAAAAGGAAAACATGATACTCAGAAATAAAATAAAAAAACTCAAGCATTTTTTGATACAGCGTGATCAATTCAACAATATAAACTTGGATACATCCGATGATCAAACATTTTATTAGTATCAATATATATATAATTATCACATGTATATATATATGATATATAATATATAAAAAATATATATTATATACACACATATATAATATATAAAAATTTATATATATATATACATATATAAATTATCACATGTATGTGTGTGTGTGTATATATATACATATATGATATATAATATATAAAAAATATATATTATATACACACATATAATATATAAAAATTTATATATATATACATATATAAATTATTACATGTATGTGTGTATATATCCTATACACACGTGTTAATAATGATTCACAACTGTATATATAGGTTTAATTTATGAGATATGTATATATAATGATAAATATATAATCATATTGAAGGCAATTACAATATTGTGATGATTTAATGTAATATCTTCCACAAATATGTACAATTAATTTCATTTACTGCTGTTCCTTATTATAGAGGATTGATTATACTATTCAAAATAAGAAAAAATATAGCAACTTGCTCAGTTCCTTTAATACATTTCATCAAATATATTACTTTTTTACAAATATATAATTTTATTTTACTGCATAGAATCAACACAATGATTAAAAGTTACAAAAAAAGATTGATATGTGTAGATTTAAATAATAATGTACAAGCTTTGCTAAGCTGCATTTCTTTTATTCAAGCTTTTTTGTAAATAAAAAAATTGAAATATTTAATAGCCATATTAACTACATAAGCGCATATTTTGATGTTGAGAACAGATTAAGAATTTGTTAATCTAAAGATGTAAATATTTATTTGTTTTAAAATATATTTTTCAGCTGTCAAACGTTAAAATTCTTTACAAGATCATAATCCTTATTCATTTCAATCACATTTATACATTCTTAAAATTAAATTCTTACAATTATTCTTAAAATTTAAATATACATTCTTAAAATTAAATTAATGAAAGTCTAATTAATAAAATTAAGAGATATTTAAAAAGATTTCCAACTATCAATCAGGCAGCGAATCTGCTAATTCCATCATAGTTTCTGACTCGAGAATATTTTTTTCCCTGTTCTGATTATTTGTAAGCACCTTTGAGAAGGATTTTTGTACTTGTCTAGGAACAAAAGCTAATGGTGTTGTTACTTTAGTTTTCACATTAGTTGATGGAATTGTTTCTACACTAATATTATTTTCACATACTGTATTAGTGGTATTTTTTGCAAACATCTTACTTTTTTGATTTTTATTCAAAAGTACTTTGGTATTCTTTTTCTTTTTTTTACTATCAACATTGTCAATTTCCATTGCGTTCAATTCGTCTTTCTTGTTATAATGCAGCATATCATCAAATCGATATTTCTTTGGAAACTTATGTATTCTAATACAGTGTTCTCTTCTTTCCACTGGATCATTGAATTTTATATCACATTCAGAATCATAACACTGATACTGAAACAATGATAAATTGCATTAAATACAGTTATAAAATTATAGAATATGTAAAAGAAGAGTAAATGTTATAAATACCATGGCTTGTTTCTCAGACAAGACCTTAAAGAAAGCATCATGTGTTTCTTGAATATGAATTTCCAACAGTCTTGGATTTGGTCTAGATGCTTTACATTCTGTACAAGCATATCGATGAGAACTATTATAATGCATCTCATAATCGAGTAACGTTTGGAAAGTGGTTTTGCATCCAGGGATATAGCATGGGAATTCTCTGATGCTGAAATAAGATAATAACATTGTTTTCTTTCTATTAAATCATACATATATACACAACTCTTTCTGAAATCAGGATTAAAAAATTTTTAGATTTTAAGAACCTCTTTGCAGTATTAAAGAGAAAAGAAAGAGCCATATATAATTTCATGCATAATAGTTGGAGGTACATCTATTAAATGAAAGTATATTTTTAGGTTATGTTAATGCTGTTTAAGAAAAGTCATCCACACTTACACTTCATGGCATAATTCCTCTTCGTCGTCAATCGTGACACCTTGTCTTTGAAAAATTTTGCAGACTTTATAGGAATCGTCGAAAAAGGGATCATTTATGGGTCGAATCCCAACTCCCAATTGCTGAAGAACTTCTTCCATAATAAATATAAAACAGTACACAAACGAATACACTAACGTTTTCTATGAGAATTTAATGTAATTGTATTTATCTTTTTAACATGGCTAAATAATAAATTAAAATTTGTCGCCTATGTCATCTCTAGCAATCCAGTAATGTCTGTATTGTTTACTTTTAGAAAACACAACAGTTGTACAACTGTTGAGTAACAGTTGAGCAACATGTAAGAGGTTAATCGTTCAGCTATTATGTATGTTTAAACGTAACAAATAATGTTTGCATTTATTTGGTCTGCTTTTGTAGTTGCACTTTTTATATTTTTTTTCTCTTTCCCGTTTTGATAATTAATTATAAAGTTATATTTTATTCTGAGTACATAAAGTGTAACATAGTGTAGTTAGAAAGAACAAATCTCGCTTGGCGCTGCGTACGCTATACTTTTGGTCGCCATGACAGTGTATATCAGTGTTGCCAGAATACAGACGCGGACGTGTGATCCATTTGCATTTCACTAATGTGGTATCACTGATGTAAATTAGTTGTAACAGTCGGAACGGATTCAAGCACGGATATTTCGTAAATAATTGTAAATAATCGCATTTTATTCATTAAAAGTGTAAATTTTTGTCGGGAGTGCCGATTAAAGTAGCGGGCGATTACCGGATAATGATATTATTTATCGCGGATATTCGCGATTAACGGCGTTCCGCCGATTGTTTTGACCAGATCATAGATCATAACCGAAATCTATTAGCACGCCATTTTATGTTCATTGTAGCATTGTAAAAATTCAACTTGCTAGAATTAAATCGGGTAAAACGGAATTGTTGTTATATAGATGTTTATTCGTACGATTTTTGCACAATCATTAAAACTATCGTTTGTTTTATTCGTTCGGAGTGGTCAAATAAACCGTTGAATCTACAATTATTTATGTAAACGGTTGGCGGCAAAAAATGCGTTTTATCTCGCGTTTGTGTTTCGCGTACCGTGATGTGAATTCGTGAATTTTGCATAAATAAAGTATAAAATGGTACAGAAGGTATACAAAAGCTTTTATTTTACACTTAATAAAATTCATATTATCAATTCATTCAATAAATACGATGCTTTCTTAAAACTTCTGACTTGTTTTATATATGAATAATTTTCTGAATTGCAGTTACCGAAATGCTTTTGTTTGGTAATCGGCATGATTAACAATTCGATGGGGCTGATGGAAAGCGGTCTGAAACGGGATTTACAGCGGATGAAATAAACTGCAGCATTAGTGAGTACAATTATTTGTTTATTATTTAAATATGTACATAATTGCGAGAACATATACATACAATTGCAATTACACACAGTCAAACTTTCGTATTCATTCTTCTAATTTTCGTTTATTTTCTCTTTGCGCAATCCTCTCATTACTTTATATTTTTATGATATCATAAAATGTAATTTTATTTTTTTAAGAGATACTATAGAGAACATAATAACTAATAATGTGAATGGTAATACATACATTATTAATGTTTTATATAGTAATTATCGAATTACCGTTAATTACATAATAATTTATAAAAAATATACATATTCGAAATTCAATTTATTCAACCAACAATCGCGTCTCTAGTTTTTCCATTATCTCGGTTATTCTGCTTTCTAACTTGTTTCTTCTTTGCATCTCTTCTTTTTTTTCCTGCAACATACATATAGCTGCTGCAGAACATTTTAATCATACATTCATAGATCATTAATATAAATTGAAAGATGTTTATTTTATGAAAAGTTTTCTTGATTGGATTAAAAATTTTATATTTATTGACAAAGATTAAAATTTGGTGCGCTTCTATCTTTCTTAAAATAATTTAATATTTATAATATAGTGTATGAGTTCTCTCTCTTCCTGAAAAATATCTAAAGAAATAAAATTCTTCTTATTTAATTACATAGACATATTTTATTCGTAAAATTTGCATAACTTGTTTAATGATTTATATTATTAAATAAGTAGCTTAATTTAAAATATAGAATTCTTGAATTATCGAATTAAAAAATCCGTTTTTTAATTTTTTAAAAATATTTTCTTGCTGCGTAATTCTTTTAACCTACGCAGTTTATACTAAATTATTATGAATAATTTACTATAGTAAATATTATATATTTAATTTTGTTGTTTTTATAATAAAGCTTTATTGAAAATAAAATAAAAAATATAACTGAAAAATTTTATCCTAGCAACAGATACTATATAAAACATGCAACGAATCTTTTGATATCATAATATAAATTTTATTGATAACGCACAAAAATTAATAATACACCATATGCAAAAATTCATTCTATAAGTTGTTAAAATTTTAAATATTGCGTATAAAGTCCACATAATGAATCGGTCCATTTGGACTCGCTTGTCTCTGCTCCGATACTCTCAAGGTCGCTACTCTGTTTCTATATTCTTTGACTTTGGCTTTCTCTGGATCATTTTCCAGTTCATCGGCGTATTTCTCGATGCTTTCGTCGTAATGATCAGTGACTGGTTCCGATACAACGAGTACGTGCGATTCCTTCGCAGCTCTGCCATTCTCTTCGGCAACTTTCGATTCCTCGTTGCTTTCATCTCTAAAGCTATAATCGTCTTTACTAAAACCGAAGAAATCGTGTGCAGTCTGGGGATCGTTAAAATTTTTTGGAATTGATTCTTGTGGAATTTCTGTTTTTTCATCATTCCTCCGCTGTTTTTCCGGTTTCGAGTTTAATCGACTTCTTTGTTGTATTCTTTGTGTACTGGGTGGCCTCTCCAAAGGTTTACCTTGCGTATTTGAAGCTGCAACATTCTGCAGCTGCAGCTGCGGAGGGCTCAAAAAGGGAGCCCTAGCATCACTTCGCGATTGCGGCCGATATATTCTGTTCGACCAGTTCTCCGCATTGGGAATTTGACTTTTCATATCGATATCGATAAACGACTCTTCGGTTTGAGACGACGCTTGAGCCTGTTCTCCAAAAATGTATCTGTAACGATCGAGAACATTAGCTGGAATTTCTTGAGGCTGATAATAATAATTGTAAGAATTCTTCGCAGTCTCATTTAGATTGAGATTCGGGTTTGCTTGAATAAATTGTTGATTGCCGCTTTGTTGAGGAACGTAGATCTGATCTTGCGGATGCGTGCCTTCGGTATTTAAATGAGAAGCTTGATTTGGCGGATTTGTAGCTTCGTTAGTGTAATAAATATTTTGAGGATATTGATACTGATACGTCGGATTGCTAACGACTACTAAATAACGTTCTTCTGAAGACTTGTCATTATTTGCGTCATGTCCTCCGTTATTTTTTGCAATATATTGGTAATTTCGAGGATACTTTTCTGGATTTGCTGGAATAATAACGTTCGCCGGTTGCGTATTATCATAGGCATAATCGAAAAATGGTGGAGATACCTGTAATTTTTGTTTGTGAAATTCACTTTCATGCAACTGTTGCGTTTGCAGAGGCGAAAAAGTCACCTGCTGAGGCAATTTTTCTCTAAGTGGCAACGACAATGATGGTCTAACAGTAGATTCCATTTTATTTTCGGAAAATTTATCGATTATGGATTTATTTACTTCTTTGTAGTTTAATTGTTGTGTTGTTGCTTGTTCAACTTTGTCGTTTACATCAATGTAACGCACGGGTACAATTAGGGGCGTATATTTTCCAAAATCGATTTCTTGCTGCGCTCCGGACAATGTCACGTCGTCATTTTGTAGAACCTTGCCTTTTACTGAAATGGTCGGTGATTTTATGCGACCATTTTCTTTCGTCGTGAGAGGACCTGTTTTAGGTCTCTTTGATCTCGCCGACGCACGATTTCTTTCACTTCTTTTGTCATTTCTGTCCGCTTTACGTTCGTCATTTATATCATATTCCTCATATTTATTCTCCGGCGGCGAGTATTCCTCTCTCAGTTTTTGTAATCTTGCCAAATGCTCGTTGTAACCGTCCGCGGATAATGCCTTCTTGCCGTCCTCCTCCGACGCGTCTTCGGGATCGCGCACCTCTTGCGAGGCATACACGCCGGTGTACGGATGCTTGAACATGTTGATGTATTCGGCGAGCTTGTCATTCTCCAATCTCTTACCGTCCAACACCTCGCCGTAGCTGTCGCGGATCATTTCGGGGTTTCCTTCGTGGAAATAGTCGCCGATCGGCAACTGCTGATTGTATCCCGTTTCTATATATTTGTCGAAGTTCTCAGCTTGCGGGTGAGATTGTTTGTCACGTTCATCGCTTCCGTCCGGATAATCTTCAACTTTGTCCTTGTCGGTTTTTTCGGGCGGCTGTCTCGAAGAGCCGCGCGCGGATTTCGGTTCATCTTCATGCTCCTCGTACCTTTCCGCGGAGTCTTCGTCTTTTTCGTCGTCGTGCGTTGGTCTTTTATTTTTCGTTGGTTTGTACTTGGAAGCGTGCTGCCGATTTCGATTGTCGATTTCCTCTTCGCGATCCTTGTACCTTTCCTTCGTTTCGTCATCTCTGCAGTGAGCGGGCTTTTCGCGATTTCTCTGCTGCTTGTTCCCGCTCGGCTCGTCGACGAATAACTGATGTGTATTCTTGCTCACCGGCTTCCTCACGTCTTTCTCATTATAGATTTCCTTCTGTTCCAGCGTGTATCGCTCGTTATCCCCATTATTCTTATACACTGTTTGCTGCTGCTTCCGAGTCGGCGGTTCCGCGTTTGAGTCGCTCACGACCGTAACTGCCGGGGCGGGATACGATAATGTAAGATCTTCAGGTATCGTGGCTGGCAGGAGTTCCGGTGCAATCGGCAGCGGAATTTTCACAAAGAATGGCGCCAACAATGGCGGCCTGGTCGGCGAATTTATCCTCGGGTTCAGCGTGACAGCGTGCGCGGGAGGCGTTGGTTTCGGCGGAGGACTTAATGTTGTCATTATCGTCATGTTATTTCTAGGCGCGTGAAAGATTTGCTCGTAACGCTGCAGATGTCCTAAAATATCCGAATTATTACCGAAATTCAACACACCGGTGAATCTTATGGTTTCTCGTTGCTTCGGCACCGGCGTCGATTGAGAAGACGCAACTTGTGGTCTTATCGCCGACATTGCAGCGGGTATCGTTGTGTTTGGATTTGGCAGCGTGGCGATTTGTATCGGCGTCACCGTGTATCCGAAGATCTGAGCTAAGCCCGAGAGCAGAAGACCAAGCGCTCTCTTGTCGCGTAACTTGTCCGCAGCTTGTTCATCGGTTCCATTGGTTTCTTGTATAGATATGTTCGATAAATCTTGGACGTGTGCCGCTTTAAGCTCTGTTATCTCTTTCGACGGTAGCACTATCGATGCGCGTGCGACGCAAAATAATAGGACAAGTACTCGTGCACGGGATTTCATTCTGGAAAGCACCTAGTTAATGCTCGGAAACAATCGCGCGCCGTACATTGAATTCGGCTGACAAATCACTTGCAATAACTGTACAATTTGTGACACTTCACTTTTATTCAGCAGTCAACGCGTTTCTTCTAAAGTTAAGTTCTTACGCGGAAAATTTATACATATTTACATTTTATACGATAGCGTTTGTCCTCCATTACAAATCACACAATTATCCAGATTTAATATTGACGAAATTTAGATTCAAAATTCAAATACAGAAAATATTGCCAATAGAGCGACAATGAAATCGCGAAACTTTCGTGACTCAGAACTCGACGAGCACTGCCGGTCAATTGCGACGGCGTAGACATCATTGAACAATGACCTAACTGGCGGGGATAAATTTTTGCATAATATCGGAAAGAAATGTCGAGTTTCTCTTGAATTGCATGGGCCTACTCGTTGATTTGCGACAACTGAAGCGGCACGATGCAATACGCGCGCGGAATGGAGCGAGGTACGGAATCGTGCGTGAAAGAGTTGCCGTCGCATAGCAAAAAAGATACCAAAAATCAGGCGTAGTCGGGCGATTCTGGTTAGTTAAACTCTCTCGTGGTTTAATTGCTCGTGTAAAAGCAATACAGTTATTGCAATATTATATAATTGCTAAAGGAAGATTAGGAAGGAGGCTCGTTAGAGATCGGTTATGATTATCCATTGACAGCAACAATGCCTCTGCAGAAACATTATTATAGCCATTTTTTTTAAATTCACGCCTATAAACTTTTTAGAGCATTATTTTTTTAAAGATACTAATTTCATAATTTTATATAAATTTGCAACATAATAAATTAAAATGTATTATTCTCTAATGAAGGTAAAATAACAATGTGATCAAATCTTTGCTAAAATCAATGCAAATAATATCTATTATACTTGTGATATTTTAATTGAATTAATTCCACATTTGAATAAAAACCACGATGTAACAAAATTATACGTATAATACCGTGAAACCTTTATTTCATATGCAATAATTCATGATTGTTCGTGACCGTAACGATCGATTTCGTGTAACAAAAGCCGCCTTTTCGCTGATTACATACCTGCCACATTAATCCATAACGTAATGACGTTTCTGACCTAATTTCAACACATTCTTAATTTCTTATTTAGCATTTCGCACTTGTATTCTTAAAAATTAAACATTATTAATAGAGTTTAAACTGCCATGTCGTATTGTTTATTGAATTAGAACAGTGTTGCAATTTACATTGCATCTCTCATATATGGCGTACTCAAATCCCATCCGAAGTCGTGTTATACCGAATGCGCAAAGAACGTCGCGTTATGCAATCGCGAGCCCTTCCTTAAACGCACACTGGTGAGTTTTTATTCTGCCCCTCCCTCGCGAATCATCGTCCTAAGAGGTTTTATCGTCGCTAGACTAGGAAACGGCGACTTTCTCTGAACGGAGAACAGGTAATACACTTCTGTCTACTTACGAAAGCCTCAGCTAGGAAATGTTCAAACTAACGCAATACGTTGTCGTCCTCGTCGTCGACTGCGCGACAACGTCGGTTGATTGGACGCGACAAACGATTCTTCGGACCGACATTTACTTTCATCAGTCTTTCGCAAAACCCATGTAAATTCCTGTAATTCCTATTGTCACACTCGATTGTAGTCGTGTATAACGTATAATTTTTTTTTTTTTTAATAATTTGCGTCAATGAACATGTATAGTATTGTATTTTATTTAATGCAGACATATTCGTCGTATAAATATAAATATAGATTCGCAATAAACAAATTCCTTGATAAAAATCAAATCTTTTATTATAAATTTAAATAAATCATTATGTGAACATCAAATTTCTAAAATACTTTTCCTAAATAATTTATTACATTAATTAATACAGATAATACTCGAAAACAATTTAAAGTAATATAAAGATATCAATTTTTTTCCTTTATTAACTTTTATAGAAATAAATTATTTTCTTCGCATTTAACTTTTAGCTACAAAATTGGTTCACATAACGTTTAAAACGAGTAACACATGTACGCCATATATGAAATGAGAAGTGAATTTTTAATTCATTGCAATTGATAAATTTTTTCAATTTAGTAGTTTATACTTCTGAATCTCAAGAGATAGTAAAACGCTCTTAATCAACTCCTTTCTGTTGGTAATTTTAAACGTGAGTAATTATTAGGTTGTCAACCCGCATATAAGAAAGTTTGTTATGAAAACAATTCTTTTTTCTCGCATTATTGGTTATCGAAAGAGAGTTATTTTTGCACTTATTCGACAAGTTGTCGTAAATTAAGAATCTGACTTTGTACCGGTAGTAAATTGAAATTAATTTTACGCTTGTATACGCATCGGTGAATCCCCTTTCACTTGCTTCAGAAGACAATGTGAAAAGTTCGTAAATATAAGCGTCCATGACAAGTCTGCTATAATTTTAACAGGTGGGTTGCTTATCTTAAATCATATATATGACGTATTGAAATGTTTAATAAAAATCATTATTTTTATACCAAGTAAGATACGTATCTTATGATTATCTACGTATAAAAGGAAGATTGCTACGGATAATAATTGGCCAAATAATTGGAAGATTGCTACGGATAATAATTGGCTTCATTATAAAAATACGAAAGAACAAAAATTTCTTTTTTTTGTATACTTCACAATAATCATTCTCAAGATAATAATTAAATAATTGTTAAGTAATTCGCTTCCATAATTTTGATTAGAAGAAGAAAAGTTAATTACTGCTATCAATTACGTACATTCTTTTACAGAGATCTCACGAAAGCGACAAAAATTAATAAATATAACGATGACAGTTTGTTAATATTTTTCCTTAAGTTCTTTTGACGCGTGAAAGTAGGACATTTCTACTTCTTATACAATAATTAAAAACATATTGTATGGCTTTTTTTCGCTATATTTCATGAAAAAAAATGTAGGGCAAGATAATGTTCTAATTTTCTCTCTGTTCTACACATTGCGCAATTTCGCTTTGAGGATTACTGGAATGAAATGCGTGGCACTCTTTCTTACGATCGTTATGTCGTTATGTCGTTTGATTCTTTAGATGGGAGTGGTCTTGCGAAGTTGTCAGTCGAGATGCTCGTTATACGTGCGCGCATACCGGTGGATCTAGAATTCACCATAAATTCAACGAACGACTTGCATGGGAAACCCGATATAAAAGAAGTGTCAACCCCTTGAGCGCTATCAGTGCTTTGTAAGTGCGCGCCACGCTCAATATGATGAAGCTGCTGGTAAGCCGTTAGATTCGCGTACAATAGTCACAGTTGCAAAGTTAACGAATTGCTAATTCGATTGTGTGACATTGTTTGAATTATGATTTTTATAGACTATCCCAGACGTGCCTCAAATGTTTGATAAAACGTGATCAAGTTTTCATGAAATTTAAGAAATAAATATGTCGAGTTGTGAAAATAGATATCAATTTTTTTACTTGAAATTTTTATTTTGTACTATTGTATTTATTTTTATATATCACTCCTTTTTCATTGTGACGAATCGATATATTTTATTTATCGAAACAATCGTTCAAGTCTGAAATACTTTATGCAGTCGTTCGCTGATTACGATGGTTTATATTCGTAGTGTCCACATATCGACAATTGTTTTAGCTTTTGCTATCGTTGATTGTTCTGGTCTCGGGAGACGAGGCTTTCGTCGCCGAAAGAACAGCCGTGGGCAATGACGTATCCTCGCAAGAGACTGCTCAACCGAGCGTCGGGGAGATCATAGGAGAGAAGAAGTTAGGAAAGAGAAGCTACGCTTCGCTTCCCCTGGCTTACTCACCCTACGCAGGCACATCCTACGTAGGCGCTTACACACCCGTGTTGCCGTGGTAAATAGTATATATAAATATCTTGTCAGCGGCGCGAATGTAAAAATCTCGGGACAGCAGTTTGGCGCTGACGTTGATTCATACGTTCGATTTCTCAGGTATCGATCGGGTGGATTGAGTAGCTACGGATTGAGTAGCTACGGATTGAGTAGCTACCGTTCCGGCTTGCCGCTACGATCTTTGGGCTGGCCGTCGCTGTACGATGGTTTGCACGGTGGTTTGCACGGTGGTTTGTACGGTGGTTTGTACGGTGGTTTGTACGATGGTTGGAACAAAGGGTGGTAAATTTCAAGGATTAAGCGTGCGATTGTTGTTAAGAAGGTACGCGTCTCACATCGGTTTTTTGGCGCTCTCGATAATTCATCAGTGTCATAGTTTGCTTTGTCATGATTCATAATATTCATCGAATTGTTTCTTGTGAATGTATTTGGGCAAGCGATGCGAGACAAGGCACATTTACGTTTATTTTTAGGCTCACAGATTCCATAATAATTGTTTGCAGACGTTGTGGAATTTTTTTATCCATTCCTTATCACTCTTTCACGATTAGTTATTATCATGTATTATCGATTGACTGATGTATCGTTGCGTGTGAATTATAAGATGACATAATACTCGATCGTGGCGATCATTCATACAATTAAACATGTGGAAGCAATTCGATTAAATAAATATTTTGTATATAGAAAATGACGAATTATTTTTTGCGCATACCTTTAAGCGTTTCTTCATGTAAGCTGTCAATATTTCCTCGCATATGGTGAGATTTTTGTCCGTATCCTGTGCAATAAAGCAATGAATTCTAGAGAACATCTTAAATAAAATCTAGTTCTACAGTATTGTGTATAATCAGTTTTAGAAATTGAAGCATTATTGAGAATTCTCGTGAGAAATTTTCAATATTTTTTAACAAAAGAAAAATGTTTTGAAAATTTATTACTATTTTTACAAATACTTTTTTGAACCTGACATTTTTTTACGGAGTGATAAATATGTATGGAGGAGTAATTAAACCTTCAAGATGCTCGTCAGTTCTTTGATCTTCTGCAACTTGGCTTGTTCTTGCTCGGTGGATTGTGTCACGCGGCACATTCGATGTGGATTCGGTGCGTACATTTCAGGGTGCGAGACAAAAAGTGCTAAAGTAGTCTGATAATTCTAACGTCACTCTAAAAGTACATATCACTTGTCTCTCGCCGCAGTGCGTCTTCTCATACGTGAGCTAAGCTACGTACAAGACATGCGGTTGCTTAGGAACAAAAGGGTAACAAATACCTTATCGGTTTTTTTATGCAAAATGTTGAACCATTAGCATTTTGGTTCCGCATACTTTTCCTATAAATAATAATTTTGCCGTAACATATTCGGAAATTGTAATTTTTTAATTTGCTTTCTGACTCAAATTAAATATCATCAGCTGATTTGAGAATTAGTTATCATCCACAATATCGAGTGATTAATTTTGTGACTCTATATATCATCTGAAGAAAATATTGCCTTGAATCTGCTGTAGATAAATTGTCTTCCGCAGCAGCGGACTTATTGTTTTGTTCAAATGCATGTAGGTAATTTTTATATATTTTTAATTGATTATATTTATAATGCATTGAATTTATTAAAAAGTTATTTTATATATTGTATTTAAGATTTCTCTAATGCTGAAATAGTAGTCTTCTGTATTATCCGCTCTGCTACTTGCCTCGCTGCACTTCGTTAGAGGGCAGCCAGGACTTACGTAAAATCGATATTTTCTCTGGCGCGATAATATGTTTACAAATACTGCAGAAAATTAGATTAACGAAATACTTAAATGTTGTGCAATCACAGATATTACGAATTTTGTGTTGACTATTAATTTAATTTAATTGTCATAAAAACGAAATTTTTTAACATATATTTTACGAAAATATTTAAAACTTGTTTACTATTAAGCAATATTTAATGTATTATATTATTATATTTAACAAGTACTTATTAAGATACATAATTGATTTTTGTCGCCTTTTGAAAGATTACACTTATTTAAAGCATCAATTCAAGCTTTCAAAATATTACGAAGTTGCTGAAGGGAAGGGTATTTCAACCCCTTTTGCGCAAAAGTCAAAGGCCAACTTTGTGGTTGCACGTTTATTAGCCCCGGTGTGGACAGTGAAAGAAAGAAGGGAAGAGCGGCAGCATCTCTTTTCAGATGGACCAGTTTTTTGATCGGCTGAAACTCACCGAAAGAGTTTCAGAATGAGAGTCAAAGGCTAACTGGATGCGTTTTATGGCGGGATGTTTATATACGTTAGAGTGGACAGTGGTCATTGTCCCGGGGCAGCATCCCTTTGTCGGATGGACCCGTTTTTCGAGCGGCACGAGCCCGCAAAGATGTGCCCGGGAGGGAAACCGGGAGCAGGACCTCGCCACGCGAGCGAACAGGTTTCGCCGCCGGATAGGGAGCGGAGCGCGAAGCGGAGTCTGTGGGGGGAAAATAGATCGTGATCTACATCAGGTGGAAACTGGTCCATACCCCGGAATTTAGACGGCTCGGTGTCAATCCACGTGCGATCTGGCCGAGCGGAGATCAGAGATCAGGCTCTCAAGAAAAGCAACGAGCTCCAAATACGACAGTGGGAACAGGTTCCGCTGTATAAACGAGATCACCCCCGTTCTTCGACCGCGCATCGGAAATGTAGAGCAGGTGGAATGTTTAGATCCGCGAGCGGGAAAATTTCTTGTTTACAAAGCATTGATGGAACGGTTAGAAAATAATCGATCCGACTGTGCGCGAACTTGCGTTTATTATCTTAGATAACAGACGATAATATGCATATAACTGATTCAACGCACACAATTATTTATCAAAATAAGCTATTTATTTGGAAAGAAATGAATTTGAAAGATTTGATTAAAATTTATAATTATATTCATAACTATATGTTGTATTTTATTATGCGACACTTGTACTATTAAATTACTTAAATTTACTATTTTGCGTACTGCGCTTGAAAATAATTTTTTTGTACAAATAAATTTAAATCCTTGCAGCATAAAGTATATAAATACATATATAAATTTCGATTAATAATTGAAAGGACAATGAACGATTGATAGTACTCAGTTTTTAACAGATTTCTTGAAAAAAAAAATTGTCAATCCACATTGTCTGCATATTAATAGCAATCACCGTCACAGAATCTTGTATTATATTTTCCGGAGAGAGCACTTGCATATCAGGCGTTAAATGAAGAATACGATAAAAGGGATTGTACTCTGGGCCTAGGGACAAAGAACATGCGGAGCTCAATCAAAAGGACGCGAAAACAAAGGCCGCTGACGTGCGTGTCACATGAGACGTCGAAACCAGCCCACATTGGCCACTTCTTTCACCTGTCCATCACTTCCTCCCTGTAAAGAGGACGCCTCTGAAAGAGGACATTTGCGTTTCCGCGCTCGTAACAGCCATTGTGCGCCTTTATCGGCCGTTTCACGCTCCTCTCCGCTGGCAGTTCACTCCACCAACGGCTGTGCGTTCGATCGTACAGAATGCATATCGTGGGAGACGAAATACAAATTACACGCCATACTTTCGATTGCTATCAATTCGCAATAATTTATGCTTTAAAAAATGACCGGATAAAAAGTATCTTAAACTTTAATCTTTAATTAAATAAAATTAATGTGTTATATTTTTTCTGTCAATTTCTATGAAATTAGGTTTTATCAAATACATTGCATATTTCTGCATTTTTAATTTATTACCTAATAATCTGTAAATATCTATTGGTAAATTAAGTTATAACTGTCAATATTTTAATTGCCAAGTTTGACATAGGGAGACGTGATTTAATGAGGGACGCATGTCGTAAATAAGCGCAAGGAAGAATAGTGAAGAAAACTTCCGCCGTCGAGTTAATTTCAGCTTCGGCCGCGAGAATCTTTTCCCTGCAGGGGGCCATGAAAAGATCTCACTACGTACACAGCACATTACCCCCATTCGTATCGGTAACGAGGTCGACTTTACTCCGCCAGCACTCTTCCTCCGGGGTGGAGGGGGGGGAGGGGGAGGTATAGACGAGCGCGCGGTATTACCGGGACACCCCGTATATAGGGAGGGCGTATTTGTTTTACTGCCTGGCTGCCGGCATTGGTTGAGAACGTGCTCTGCATTCTTGAAATCGTGCCACCCTTGTTACGGCATAGACTCTCCACTGACGTTTCCCTCACCCCTTCGTCTTGCCATCAAACCCGGCTCTTTTCCTCGTCGCCGCAACAACCATGAGAAGGATCGTCGTCGATCCCCCCGCGTGATCGTAAAAAATTCTTAACTTCTGTAGTAGTTCCTAGTATAGTAGGTATATAAGTGCTGCATAACGTATGCTTCGTGAGATACTTTCGAGGAGCATTTATCTGACGATGAAGATAATTGATGTAAAACGATCGTCGTAAAATAATCATTGAAATCATTATTTATTCTATGTTATTTTCAAAAAGTAGCTATATAGATATTGAAGTCGCGGATTATTCGTCGCTTACCGTATTATCGAAATGTAATGACGATGAAATATCTATTTCAAAGAATTTTAGGTACATCGCAGAGATACGTTTTCAGACTCGACGATGTAATCATTAATAAGAACGAAAAAGTCGTCGAAACCGCGTCATTAATCTTGCACGTCTTTGCCGCTGTCGGGAACAGCGCTCAAATCCGAGAGGATTGTCTTCATTCTTTTCTTCGATGAGACTGTAAAAATTTGTAACTCCTGCAATAGACACGAAGTGCTCCTACTGTGAGATATTTCTTTTCTGATCTGTAAGGAGAAATTTATTGCATTTATTGCATCCGCTATTCTTGCAAAATACAATAGCTCTTCCAATTGCTGCATATTAAAATTGGGTTTTAGCAAATTGTTGTAAATTATATTTCGTATGATAGTTTATTGCGACATTCGAATACAATTGCACAATTTAATTACTGTTAACATAATTTTTTTTGCATCAATGTGATGGTTCTTGAAGAAATAATATTTCTTACATTTTTTTACTTTTTTCGCTGGATGATTCCCTACATTTTTAATATTTTTAAAACGGGCAGGTTGAGCAACGTTGATTTCGCTATTCGGGCTCGTAAAATTGTTATCTTCTTTAATGGTCGGCTCTCCTCGAGTCATCTCGGTCGGCGTCTGATTTTTCGATAACGGCACGTTGCCGCGCAGACACAGTCGTCACATTGCGGACTTAGACTATCTCTCGACAAGATGAGAGAGACGGCGAAGGAAGAGTCCGGCGTTCTGCCGATCCTAATTTACGGCTGGGATTTCAGGCGTTTATGTCTTTCCGATAAGGTCGTTCACGCAGATGCCAAGCCTGCACCGATGGATCTTCCTCATCCCGCGCTCCCACTTCTTCTTCTTCCGCTCCCGTCGGCTTTCGCGTGTCGATAGGACGCGACGAAACGTCAGAGCGTAGTTCGTCTTACGTTGTTCGTCGTTAACAAGAGCGGATAGGATCGGGGTGTCGATTCGTCAACGGTGCGCGATCGGACTCGCAAAATTGCTCGCCATTCTTCTACGATTTTCTGCTAGAAATAATATTGATCGAGCGCCTCGTAAAAGGCGCGTGGATGTAAGATTTAACCGCTTCTGCATAATAAAGCGCAATCCCTTGTTCTTCGGAAAGACAGTGTGAGATTGCGCTAGATACACAAATAAAAATCTCTTTTATCATTCATTGAGAGTCAATATCTACTTAACCTGCTTACTAGGAGATAACATTTATGGCATAAATTTCTCTAATGCAATCTGCTTAAAAAATGAAGAATGATATTCGGGAAAAATTTTTGCGAATTTAAATGAATTTGATTATAATTTTAGTTATCTTTGAGTCTTTTATTATATTTAGTTGCCTTTCTCGTTGATATTTAACGATTTATAATTTATTGTTTTAATATAATAAATAAAATTCAAATGTGCAATATACATATAATTATGTTATTATGAAACATATTATATTATTTTTTAATTTTTTAGGTTCTGTGGGGCAATGTTGCGCGGCGAAGTTAACGATCAATGCAAATAAACAACATTTCAAAGTAAGTAATTTTCATTTTTTATTGGATACAATTAAATCATGAGTAAAGTAATTTTATCAAATTTAAACCAAAAAATTATAATTCTTCTGAACAGTAACAAATATAAAACAATTTTTATATACTTGAAAGTTAAAATTAGTTCTGTTATTATTATGTACATTTTTAAAAACATAATTTAAAAATAATGAAAAAAATTTTTTTATTTCTTTAAACAATATTTAATTACAATTTTTCAAACTCTTGATTCTTAATTTGAATTTGAACTTTACTAATCTTAAAAGATTCTATTTATATGATTTAATTGCATCACGTATTATTAGCTGCTTTCGTTCATCACGACAATGTAAAATTTTATATCTTATTTATATCACACATGTATTCTTATATTTAAAGCAGTTATAATGCTATAATACTATGTCCGCTTATGTGCACAATTTTCGCATTTATCACTGATGTGATATCGCTTATCTAGTCATGTAAGCTAAAGGGACGCGAAGCGAATCGTTTTGGATTTCCAACCGATCAGGCAGGATCCGCAATAATATTTGTTTAAAAGACAAGCGGCCGGAAATTCGATCAAATTGGAAATTTCGCCTTTTTTTCCGTCCTTGCGAGGGTGTTAAATTCCCTGTGAGATTCAATTGGTCGGCGATTCGCGGCAGGCACAGATTTCCTGTCCGGAAAAATCGACAGGATGGATTTGTTCACGATTTTCTATCGGGTCGGCGCTTTTACCTCTGATTTCTCACGTTCTGTCAATCTGTAGAATGAGTCCAATACATCGCAGATTTAAGGGATTAATAAGACCAATGTAATTTCGTTAAGTGGCAAATCTTAGTTAATTAAATCGAATGGGATTCTCTTTATTATTATTAAACTATCGTGAATAATCAATAACGCGATATTATAGAATCACTAACATTACATTGAATTACTGAGAAGCATATATTGGAAATTCTAATATTACATTAAATTTGAAATGGTAATGTAATGTAAAACAAATTATTAAAAATTTGTAATGTTAAAAATGAAGTAATTGCTCTCGATTTTATATAAAATAATTTGATATCAATATTATGTTCATATTAAGCACACAAATATTAGAAAGATTTAATATTTTTCGAAATTACATATTTATTTTTTTGAATTTAATTTTATACAAAAAATAATTACTAAATATGGCCCGACGCTTGATTTAATGTTAAGATAATGTTGCTTATTTACGTCTAAAACTCTTGGTCTTTTTGACAGAAAACGTGGTCTTTGACCCGATAATCGTATAAAGCTCGTTAATTATTGCTAGGATCTTTCGTACTAAAAATCGAATCAGAGGATTGAAACCGAAATATTCATGGATGAAACTTATCATCGAATAAAGTCAGATTGTGAAATACAAAAATAGCTGGCTCGCGACATACGAGATCATTTCTCGTATTTCTAAATGTGTGATTGATTGATTTGCAAAAGATGTATAATTGGTTTGCGAGAATTTGACACCTATTATTATATTTTACCGTTTTCATCTTTAAAAGATTTAGACATGCCAGAGAGAGAGAGAACAGAATATCTTATTTGATCGTCTTTTCTTTCTCATCTTCTTTTGGTAAAAATTGATTGGCCATCCATTCTTGTATTTTGCATTTTTTATTATCAAATTTTAGATTTTTTACCTTATATTTGTGGAAATGATGTAGAAGTTAAATTATTATTAAAATAGATTTAGTTGTATTAAATTTAATTAAATTAAGGTTTACTTAAATTTTTATATGCAAGTCAAAACGTTCTTATCTATTCACGCCTCTGAAATTTAATTGCTCACAAATACGAGATTTTTAATCTTATAATTAATACAAATTAATATCTAGACATTTTTATTATATAAAAGTCTAATCTAAATTGGATTAAACGTCTGCAGATAAAAAGTAAATACGGAAATCTTGACAGACTTTACGTTTTATAATTTTTTATAATTTCTATTATATTGAAAATTCAGCTTTCAATAGATTCAATCAATCTGTAGAATAATCTCCTATTATTTAACAAGTAATCCGTCTCATACAATTAGGTCACAACTGGCCGAATGAATGATTAAGCGGGAACGATTAATTCAATCTCGATTCGACGCGCGCGCGAGCGCTGACAAGAACGTCGTTCCTTGTTCCCAGTGGAAGGACGCGAATTGTAAACGAGGCTATCGGTAGACCCACACTTTTTACTTTCGGCCACTATCTTGCGACGTCGACAAGGGGGGTATTCGCCGGGGCGGGAGGGGGTAGAGATGGCCAGAATTTATAGCGTCTTTGCGATAGGGATCGGGATGGAGGAAGGAGGAGGGAAGGATGAGGCAGAGCCGCCCCTCCGACTCAATGTTTTCTGCAGGGAAAGTCGGAAGTCGAGCCGAATCCTGGCCAGGACTAGCCGTCTACCATACGTCTTGCTAACAGACTGGAGAGGTTTAGTCGTCGAAAGTGAGATGAGAAAAATTCTATAAAATTATCCCGTCCACGTAACAATCGTTTTTGCATGACGTATTTTTCCGTACAACATGCCGAATCGTCGTTGTGAGTTTCGTGTCTTAAATCATCGCGTTGCGGGCGGGGCGAATTTTCGAAGCGTTTCTCGTGCGGACAATTGGTGTCCGTTATCGAGTAGATTTAGTTGGACGAGCGGGTCCCTCCATTTTCCGAATGGACTTCTGACCCCACCATCCCATGGCGCACGGGGATGCTTTTTATTAGACTTCACTAGGGTCACCCGGTATACCCGACCGCGCGCGTATGTGTGCGCGCGCGCTTGTGCCTTCGTGTGCGTGCGTATGTGTAGGCGTGTGTTACACGTAGGAAGATCTCGTATATGCGAAGGCAGTGGCCATGTTCAGGGTGGAGGGACAGCCCCATTCGCCAAATTAACTGCGTTAGACCGGAGCCCTGGAATTCTTTACGCTTTCCTCGACCTACGACCGGCCATTTTACGCTGGATCTCGCGACGGAAACGATCGCCGTCCCTCACCCTCGATTTTTTTTTCATCGCATTTTCCTCCACTTACCACGTGTAATTTCCCCCCCGTAGGAGACGTGCATCGGGCAGATTTACGGCGGTATTACATTCGAAACGGCGTATTGCGCACCCGTCGGTTGCTCTTTCTCCGACGACTTATTTTAAACTTGTATTAGCATCTGGATTACTCTTTTGAGAGAGATTGATTCTCTGTGAAAATTAGGTTAATATAATATACACTATTGAAATTTAAAAATAATGTGTTAAATTTGTTGTCGTAATTAACAGTCAATTATTATTATGTAATAATATATATATGTTGTTAAATGCTTTTTTCTATAATTGGGGAAGTGGGATGCGTATGCGTTGTATATGGCAATTATGGGCGCACGAGTTCTCAGGACAGAAGTAATTTCTTTGCGAACTTTTCGAAAAGGGGCGAAAGTGCATAACGCGGGAAACTTAAGTAACGATTTCTCTAAGAAAGTTTCGCACGGCGAGACTTTAAAGCCGAGCGCCTGAGACGGCTTCTTAATCGAATCACTAATGCTTGTAAAATCTTTGTTCGAGACTCCTTAAAGAGAAGGAGATGAAGCACCGCGCGCGCGACCGAGAGTAAAAGCGTTTACTGCGAGTTGACGAAGTACTAGAGTAAAAAAGCGGGTTTACTTTGACCGACTATGACGCCATATAGTATATCATGAAACTCAGTATTATTTGATATAATTTATTTTACGCATATTAACACAATTAGATCTGATTTATTTTCATATTGCACGTTTGGAATTTTTTGAAACAGAAACGTTTTTATTAATTAAAATACAACAGAATATTTTATTCAATCTATTAAATTATTATATTAAAATATTAATTGTGGTGCGTATTTTATATTTTTTATTTACCTATTATTAAGTAAAGTCTTTGCATTTAAAATACTTGCCGAATTTATTTTTACTTTTTTAAATAAACAGCGCTCCTTCTGACATATAGATAACAGTTTTAGCACCGCTTGAATTACTCTGAGGATCCATACTTTATTTTACGGAATTGCCGATGAGATTGTAGCCGTTACTTAACCGGAGAGCTGTATTAATTTACGCGATCAGACGCGGGCACTTTGTCCGCTCCGAGCTTCGTTAAATTCTCTGCTAGCCGGTCCATCCGCAGATGCGGAGTATCCGCGTTCGATTGCGGACAACTTTCTGAATAGGTGATCACGTAAAACTGATTTAGCAATTCGCCCATTCTCCCGGACGGCGCGATCTTAGTTCAAATTGAGTATAGTCCAAGTCTTACTCTCGGGTGAACCACTACTAATCCAATTCCAGAGATCTCGAGACGTTCCGAGGTGAGTCGAGGGTGAGCAGGGTGTGCGAGAGGTGGCCGTGGGGCGGTCGAGAGAAAGAGCCGTCGGGACGCGCTGCGGATAGACGGAGGAGGTAGCTGCGGGAGCGGGCGAGGGCGAAAGAGAGTGTACGAAGTGAGGGTGGGTCGAAGGTATAATATCGCCTATGCAAATAGCCTTTGGACTTAGACTGACTGAATATACTTTAGAGCTGGCGCTGGCACACGAGTTTAGACCGCCGTCGTATTTTCCGAGGGAGCGAGCGCTTCCGTGTACACGCGCTCTTAAAAAATTCCATCGGCAACCGCCGGCTCGTTACGTCGCCGTTCGTAAGACAAAATCTTTGCGCGACGGTGCACCCCTTTTCGAGGTGTTTAAATGAAACGCGTTTGGCGAGTTACAGGAAGATAGACACATTTTCGAGCCTCAGTTATGATTAAATTCAGCTGACTGTTGTGATGGGTGAGTTTTTATCTCGACGGCAGAATTACGTTCTATTTTATATTAATAAGCGGGAGGCAGTCTTATCTTTGTTTTGTATTTTTTATAATCTGTCGAGAAATGTGAGACAACGTGATTGGAATTATCAAATTTCAGATAAGAATAAAACGCGTAGTTTTCATGATACTTTATTTAAAGCGACGATCAGATTTAAATC